CAACTCGAACAAACCTATGCCATGAGTCTGCAAAAACTGCATGCTTAAAGTTTAAAAGCAAAGAGCATCTAGAAAAGTTTATTCTTGAAAAACTTTGGCCGTTTGCTAAGCAGGTCATTGCTTGTTGCTGATGTGTTCTGGGTGGTTGCTAGGGTGCTGATAGGCAGTTCTGTGTGGTGGCTTGTTGCTAGGGTGTTGCTAGGCAGGTCATTACTTGTTGCTGATGTGTTCTGTGTGGTTGCTAGGGTGCTGATAGGCAGTTCTGTGTGGTAGCTTGATGCTAGGATGTTGCTAGGCAGGTAATTACTAGGCAGCTCTGGGTCGTTGCTTGCTGCTAATGTGTTCTAGGTGGTTGGTAGGGTGCTGATAGGCAGTTCAGTGTGGTAGCTTGTTGCTAGGGTGTTCCTACACAGGTCATTGCTTGTTGCTAATGTGTTCTTGGTGGTTTTAGGGTACTGATATGCAGTTCTGTTTGGTAACTTGTTGCTAGGTTGATTTCAAGGCAATTCATTGCTTGTTGCTAAGGTGGTTGCTAGGTTGTTTGTCACCAGGGTGTTGCTAGGAAAGTCATTGCTAGGATGTTCTGGGTCATTGCTTGTTGCTAAGGTGTTCTAGGTGGTTGCTAGGGTGTTGCCAGGCAGTTATGTGTGGTGGCACGTTGTTAGGCAGGTCTTTGCTTGTTGCTAAGGTGTTCTAGGGGGTTGCTAGGGTGCTGACAGGCAGTTCTGTGTGGTGGCTTGTTACTAGGGTGTTGCTATGCAGGTCATTGTTAGGTTGTTTTGAATGGATGCTTGTTCTGGGTGGTTGATTTTGCTGTGGTTTTGCAGATATATGGACAGACCCTAATCCAGATTAATTGTATTGTGTTTAGACCGTAAGAAGAACAGACAGGACATTTTGGCATTTATTTATTTAACAATTTCATTCCATACATGTGAATTAGGCTTAAAATCGAATTTCAAACCAAATGAATACACCAAGGAACACGTTTAAAAAAAAAGAAAAGAAACCAAATGAGGCGTTTTCATTTCAGCTTGCTACAAGAAGCACAAACCCTTCGTGTTCTGAAGCCACTATCGATTCAAGAGCTAGGGAGGCCATTTCGCTTATAAACCAGGTACTCAATCTACCAGTGCACAGTATGCTACCCACTACATCTGCTTCACTGGCACACAGAATAGTTTTGCAACGTGAGAGGAACATGGTGAAATTTAAGTAGCGTTTGTCTGTTTATCGGTTACATTTGAACTACAGAGGTTTCTGGAACTGTCTGCATTGTGGTGTCATCGGTGCAGCTAATTCTAGCAAGGTCATGCGAAAAACGGTCAAAACAGCATTTCCTTCAAACTATTTGATCTTGACCTACTTGTAGTATGTCCTTACTATGACAACTGCCCTCTTAGTGTAACACATTTACAAGCTAAATTAGAGTGCATTTTTTTCTGGTCTAAATTTTGCAACGGATCGTTACAACAACTGGACAGCTTTGCTTTATGCGGATATGTTTAAACAATATACAGCTTGTGTGATATGAATTGGAAACAAGCATATATACACACACTGACATGAAAAAATAAAAGCATTACATAAACACTGAGATATTAGTGTGATTATAATGATGTTTTAAATGCAGCATGATTAAGCAAATAGAAATAAATTGGTGAGGTACCTGTATGTGTTAAAGTAGAAAGAAAAAAATGCTTCATTCCTGAGATGCAAAAAAAAATAAAATAATTTTAATTAACAGTGTTAAAATTTCTGTTCTGTTTTAAAAACTGGACTGTTTGTTAAAAAGACTCCTTGCTAGATGTTTTTTAATACACAAATTGTTTTATTTCAGTGTATGAAATATACCGAAACCTAAACCTTTTGAGTAAATGAAAAGAAAGTCAATGAGTGTGTATGAATTTTACTATTACCACATTTCACTGTGATCATAAATGGTGCATTTTAGATGGTTCTAAGGGAAACGATCAACCAATAAAATCTGCCTGCTAATTGGTAGTCTATATTCTTATAGTTTGTCAGGAGGAGAAACAAGCCATGTGTGTTTTATTTGAACATATATCGAACCTTTTTTTTCAGATCATAATGTTCAATCTGTAGCCATAACATATAGCAGTTGTAGATGAACTGCCACTAGTAGACACAAAAATGTTTCAGACTGACAAAATTTGAGCTCTGTTCCTAAACCTGTGAGCTGCCTTTATATGGAGCATCATAACTCTTATGGAATCTCCTAAGTGACTAGTTTGGAGCACCCCACACTGGTACAGTGACATCTATTCAAATCAGTACACCATCATTTATTTCAATATAGTTTGCCGTTAACATGTTTGTACGGTCTGTATTTTCATAATCACAATCGTTCCATACCAGCTATAGTAAATATAATGGGGATTCAAATGGCAAATTACAACACTGATTGACTGAATAAATCCCAGTATTTATCCAAACATTTTAGGCCATTATTTTAGATATGAACTCTTTGTAAAATTCCACTGCAATCACTAGACTAACAAAAAACATCAAACTGGAAATGTGTTTTGGTGCATTAAAAAAGTGAATATAAGGTGACATTATAACATGCAATGTATAAAGGCAAGTTTGAAGGAAAAGAAACAACCAGGCATTGGGTGACCAGTCTTCAATGAAACAAGAACCCATAAGAGCTGAAACAAAACAGCATGAAGCTCCCACTACAAACACAAAGGCAATTATGGTGATAAAAGAAGCTGATTTATTTTTCTTAGAAATGTTGAGAATGTCCTGTAACGGGTCAAAATCTGAGCAAGTGGATATATTTTCTTGATAATAGCATGTGATTTTACTGACCACAAAGGCAGCATTAGGTCAGTGTCACAATCAAACAGACAAGTACCAAACACTGTTAGCAGTTAATATGCCAGACAGACGGCTTTGAGCCAATCCACATAGAGATAACGTAGCAGGAAAAAAACAAAAACGGTAATTGTGGCTTGAGTAGCATGTCAGTGGTTATTTTTCTTTTCATAAGGCTTAAATTGATGTTTTTGTGCACTGTAGTTTGGCCTTAAGAAGTATGTAATCTGACTGATAACACACAGCCCAGTGACTCCACTCAACCATTAATATATTCACACATATTAGGGATACATGTGACGAGACAATTACATTTGAGCAACATACTTGTATATGGAAGTGATATGTGTTAGTGTGGTGCATTATGACTTAAATGAAAATATATTTTTGATATTTACTATGAAAATTTAAAGCTTGACCATCTATTGGTTTCCTAAGCTTCAGTGATATCTTTCTTATGTGAGAACGGAGACAGACTGCGAAAGCAAGTATGAACGCTAATCGTCATCATTTACAGGAAACGAACATCAGGTAAAAGTGTTTTAAATGCTAGAAGTCTCCCATTCAACAAATACATAGAATTGCCATTTCATTAAGTATTCCATTGCTGTCACAAATGCTGTCATACTCATTCAGTGGTTTTCAATGAAGCAAAATTAAATAATTTACACTGTGAGTTAAACAACAACAATCTTTCAAAAATGTTTTACCAAAATGTGATACTTGTACAGTATATACATGCCTTGAGCTAAAACAAAGGTTATGAAGTTGTCGAGAATCTTTGAATGACAAATAAGATGAAAAAATGTACGATTTCCCCCACCAATATTTAGATCAGCTAATATACAAACTTGATGGAATTAGGGATCCCAAAGTCTAACAACAATTTTCACTAGTTACCACATTTAGCAGATATATTATACAGCCTTAACAAGGTTGTCTATTCATCATAGAAATCAACAAAAGAACGGAATTCCAAAAACACTTCCAAACATTAACATAACCTGTGACTTCAGTGACCGTAAAGCGTACTGATGTCCAGTTTGGGTAATGAAAATCAAAGTTAGTTATTTTTACTTCATGATTGTTGTATTAGACCGATTGATGAGTTGATGTGAGTAATTTGTGCTTATTTTTTGATTGGCCTAAACCTTATGCTGTAAAATGAGTGAGCCTTTATGAATGCGGCACATGGGCAATGTTCTCTCAGTGTTATCATAATGTATGTGAAATGTTCAGTTTTGCATAAAAAGTTTTTTGGGATGTTTCTTGGACTGTATATAGATCTGACCAGAGATGTGAAGGTTTAAAAGCACTGAAATAGTTGCACGCTACTTGTTTTCGTTAAATATATCTTTCTGTGTTGTGAGATTTCGTGTGTTCGGCACAACGGTTGTGTAAACAGCTGAAAGGACGATATATCAGATGGTTCCCACTTCGACCATGGATCTGACACACAAACACACAACTGGGCTTTTTCGTTCTTTGTCTTTCTTTGCCTGATTTCTGATTCACTAGCCCGCTAGGGTTTATTTGGTGACTAGAGATGGTAAACCTAACGGTTTAAACTAATTTAAATACAAGGTGATTTTTCGGTGGAACACACTGAGACCTTCTGTGGAGCTATTCATTTACGTACCAATATCTACAGTTTAAGTACAAAATACTGATTTTAGCCATAGTGTGAGTTGTTGGTTTCACATCATGTAATGGTAATTTGGAAAATGGAGCGTTTCTACGTACCGATAACATTATTAACACCTAAAAATCTGTAGAATAAAAAGGGAACCTCCCTCACTTCAAGTCTGAGTATATTTTTACTACTGTACAAATCATGTTTTGTTTTGCTTTTTTGTTTTTGGGAGAAACATCACAATAAAAGGATTCAGCATGAATCACAACCAAAATTAAAGTAGAAATTATATATAAAAAAAAAAAACATAAAAAGCACAAAACATTTTAAAAAATCATAACGCTGAAGATAAAAAAACAAGCAACCAATCAGAGGCCTGACAAACATGAAGGCATTGACTGAAACTCAGCGGACATCTGTATATTTAGGCACTGTGAGAGGATGAAGGGCAAGTCCTTACTGGAGGATGGCTGCAGACTACAGGTGCATCTCAATAACTTAGAATGCCATGGAAAAGTTCATTTATTTCAGTATATTTGGAGATTTAGACGTTTTTGTACTACTTTGGGGGTGTTTTACAGCTATTTAATGATTACAAAAGGTGACATCTTCAGCAAATAAGTTGCCCGTATAAAGTAGCAGGTGAGCTGTTATCGAAAAAAGCAAAAGAAATCCGAACTGAAATGAAAAACAACAAACTGAACAGAAAGAGTGTGACGAAGCTTCCGCTGCTGTCTGAAGAAGTTCCTACACGGTGCAGAGAAGGAGGGAAGGAACGAGAGGAGAGAGAGAGGAGCGCAGTGCCATTGCAGTCTAAATGAAATACTCTTTCTTTTCTTCTGCGTGTGCATGGTTGCCGTCAGCATTGATGATGGCTGTGTCTGCGTCCGGGGCGTCATCTGCTCCTTTGGCCTCGTTTGTCAAATACGTGCCTGAAAAAAAGAAAGTCTTGTTTTGAGGATTTTTTTTTTTATGTCACTGAAACTTTACAATACCTATTTATGTGGACAGGTAAAAAATGCTGGAAACTTTAAAATGGCAATTCTATTTAAGAGAATTACTATTAGTACACTCTCAGAAAAAAATGTACAAAGCTGTCACTGGGGCGGTACCTTTTCAAAAGGCACACCTTTGTACCTAAATAATCCATATTGGTACCTTAAAGGTACATATTAGAACCTAAAGTGTACCTTTTGAAAAGGTACCACCCCAGTGACAGCTTTTGTACCTTTTTTCTGAGAGTGTATTATAAGTCCAAAAGTCTGAGACCACTTGTGAAAATGCAAATATTTTTTATACATTACCAGTCAAAAGTTTGGAATTATTAAGATTTCAAAAAAATTTTTTTTTGAAAGAAGCATCTTACTGTATGTTCACCAGTAAAAACAGTAACAGTTATTACAATATGATTGTATTACAATTATTATTACTAAAATAAAACTAACTGTTAAACAAACTGTTCTCTATTAATATATTTTAAACTGTAATTTATTCCTGTGATGGCAAAGCTGAATTTATTCAGTATTCAGTGTCACATGACCCTTGAGAAATCATTCTAATATGCTGATATTCTAATATTCTAGTATATATAATTGCAATATCTAATGTATATCAAATGTTTACAATTTTATTGATTGTTCTATTAAAATTTTAGTAAATATTTTATTTTTTTTAAATAAAAAATATTATACAAACTTCAAAAAGTCTCAGTATTTTTGTGCCCCTATTTTTCTTTGATGACTGCAGCATTTCATTAATTTTACAAAACGTTCTTTTGTTTTAAATTATTCAAAATACTTTTTTTGAATCACAAGTGAAGCCCACTATAGCTACTGATGTATTTTTGCGTATTAATGTATCTACATTTTGCAGAAAGTTAATGAAAATCTCACCTTTATGCCGTGCCAGGTAGCGTCCTAATACAATAATTAAGCACAAAGTGGCGAAAACGACGACAGCAACAATTCCACCGATCAGAGCGTGGTCTGGCGGGCCTGGCAGGGCATTAGGATCTGCAAGAGAGAGAAAGAGGACGAGAAAGCATAGTTGGTAACCTTTCTCATTTCAACATACTTTTACCTTCCAAAACATCAGAAGGTTGACAACAAATAGTTTGGACTAAAGCTTTAGCCCTTTCCTGTGTGCTCAACTGCAGTTAGGGCTGGTCAAGGAGCTTAAAGTCCGTCTGAACTGACCGGTCGAGCCATATGGTGGTCTGACAGGGATCTGCATGCTTAGAATGAAAGTAAAGAAGAAGACATGCTGCTTGTAACCAACAAGCATACACTATGATCAAAAGTTGTTTCAGAAGGGTCACAAATTTCCTAGAAAAACGTCTTTCCAGAAGCTGCTGAGGAAGGTCAACTTCCTATTAAAGCTAGTGGTTTTGAGATGTAATGCTCAACATGCATATATCGATCAGGTGTTTGGGTATCCATACACTGTTAAAAATAAAAGTTCCAAAAGGGCGATGCCATAGAAGAACCATTTTTTGGATGCCCAAAGAAACTTTCAGTGAACAGTTCTTAAAAGAACCATTTTTTAAATTGAACCTTTTCCCACTGTTTTGTGCTATTTGGAATGGAAAGGTTCCATCGATGCTAAAAGTTCTTCATGGAACCATAGATACCAATAAAGAACCTTTATTTTTAAGAGTGCACAGAGTTGAATAAAACTCTTGAGTCTTGGACCAAGGCACTTATTGAAGACAAGACCTGCTATTCAAATTGTGGGGATGTTCATTTCATCCCTGACCAGACAATGCGTGTTGTTAATTTATAAGATGGGCTCGTCTCCTTTCTGTCTCTGTGCTGTGGTTCTTTATTATGTCCCTGCTTAGTGCCATTTGGAGTGGTATATTATAATTGACAGCATGTGTTGCATCTGCCACAGTGTGTGCGTTTAATCTGGGCTGTGCTTTGTGCTGCGGGAGCTTCCTAATCACTGCCTGCAATTACTGTATCAGCCGCACAAAGCCGGGATAAACTCAGGGCCAGAGAGGCATTCAAACAGTCCATCAGCTCTCATTTCAGTAATGGAGAATCCCACCTCGGATCAACATCAGCTGGGCGCGCTGGCTCCATCCCTCTGATTGACATCTCATAGACTCGCTGTTTCTCTCTCTCTCAATAATAGCATTTCTTCTCTTTGTTGTGTTTACAGGAGGAGTATAAAACCTACAAGCTGCATCTGACTTCCCTGTGACAATCAATCACAATAAAAAAAACAAAATATGTGCAGATCTCTATATCACCCTTTTAGCGGCTCACTGAAATATGAAATGTGGAATGGCTACTCGTATCTGACAGGCGCATGTTTCTGAATTTCCAACGGTGAAAGGCTGTGGTATTAAACTCTCTCAGTTTTTATGACATCGATAAATCAAACTTAAGTCTCAAAAAGTATCTCCACTGTAGGTGCGTGTGACTTTAGTCTGGCTATCAAAGAGCCTCGCCTTTACGCAGCTACAACCAAAATGGCAGAGTTTTCACACAGAACTCTAGTTCTCCTAATGTCTAACTAGGAAAAGTAACAAAACAAATTCTTGGCACTGCCACTGGAAATATTAGTACTGTGTTCAGACACTTCTGTCCCTGATCATTAGACTGTGAATCTCAAGTACATCCCTCAGTGTTGTGATAATTAGCCCTTCTCTGTCCTCACTCTATTTTTATCAACACACAGTGGGGTTGCCGTGCTGAGTTCCTAGGGCGAGTCCATTGACACTGTGAGAGGCCTGGTAATCTCTAACTATATTAAGGATAATTTCTACAGTTAGAGAGTTCCATAGTTAATTTCATTAGTCAAAGCAAAACAAGGGTAGCATACAGCTCCAGATCTCACACTTTCCCAGAGTGTGAATTACACAATGACTTTACACAATAATACTTTTTAAAAGTCATTTTCAAGTTTTTGAGGTCCGTGGAGGTGTTATGCAACCCGTATTGTCTTTATATATACTTATTATAATTATATTTATAATAAAGTGATAAATAATGAAAAAGGGGGAAATGTCACAAATTAAAAGGTCCAATGTTAAACAAACTCCACATTTTTTACTGTAATAATCATGCAACATATATATATATATATACATTTACATTTACATTTAGTCATTTAGCAGACTCTTTTATCCAAAGGACAAGGACAATAAAAGTAGTCAAAACTAACAAAAGATCAACAATATATAAGTTAAAATGACAAGTCTCGGTTAGCCTAACGCAGTACACGTAGCAAGGTGTGTATATATATATACAGGTGTATCTCAGTAAATTAGAATGTCGTGGAAAAGTTAATTTATTTCAGTAATTCAACTCAAATTGTGAAACTCGTGTATTAAATAAATTCAATGCACACAAACTGAAGTAGTTTGAGTCTTTGGTTCTTTTAATTGTGATGTTTTGGCTCACATTTAACAAAAACCCACCAATTCACTATCTCAACAAATTAGAATACTTCATAAGACCAATAAAAAAAACATTTTTAGTGAATTGTTGGCCTTCTGGAAAGTATGTTCATTTACTGTACATGTACTCAATACTTGGTAGGGGCTCCTTTTGCTTTAATTACTGCCTCAATTCGGCGTGGCATGGAGGTGATCAGTTTGTGGCACTGCTGAGGTGGTATGGAAGCCCAGGTTTCTTTGACAGTGGCCTTCAGCTCATCTGCAGTTTTTGGTCTCTTGTTTCTCATTTTCCTCTTGACAATACAATTCAGGTCTGGTGAGTTTGCTGACCAGTCAAGCACACCAACACCATGGTCATTTAACCAACTTTTGGAGCTTTTGGCAGTGCGGGCAGGTGCCAAATCCTGCTGGAAAATGAAATAGCCCTAACCCAGCATCTTCAAAAAGCTGGCCAGCAGAAGGAAGCAT